CCTACAAATGGGTGATTACTCTCATATTATCAAATTGGTTTAAGAATATTAGACATATCCATGTCTGAATATACGACGATTACATGATACGGTAAGTCGTCCTGGTCATGACATTAAACTGACAAGTAAAGTATCAATTTGATAATTATAAGTAGACGGAAAACCTACAAATGGGTGATTACTCTCATATTATCAAATTGGTTTAAGAATATTAGACATATCCATGTCTGAATATACGACGATTACATGATACGGTAAGTCGTCCTGGTCATGACATTAAACTGACAAGTAAAGTATCAATTTGATAATTATAAGTAGACGGAAAACCTACAAATGGGTGATTACTCTCATATTATCAAATTGGTTTAAGAATATTAGACATATCCATGTCTGAATATACGACAATTACATGATAAGGTAAGTCGTCCTGGTCATGACATTAAACTGACAAGTAAAGTACCAATTTGATAATTGTAAGTAGATGGAAAACCTACAAATGGGTTATTACTCTCGTATTATCAAATTGTTTTAAGAATATTAGACAATACCCATGACTGAATATACGACGATTACATGATAAAGTATCTCAAGGTAAGTTGTCCTGGTCGTGACATTAAACTGACAAGAGGTGTCAATTTGATAATTGTAAGTAGATGGAAAACCTACGAATGGATCATATCCCATGGAAAATTTCCTTAGTAGGTGATTACTCTCATATTATCAAATTGTTTTAAGAATATTAGACATACCCATGTCTGAATATACGACTTTTTGCAGTCAAACGATTATATGATAAAGTATTTCATGGTAAGGTATTAAATATTCGTTCCGGTCATGACATTAAACTGACAAGTGGATTGTAAATTCTTTACGCTGGCATTATTGAGATAAAATATTCATATCATATAATTCTTGGCCATTGTTAATAATTATGTACAAAACACAGAATTGGCAACATGATCAGTAGTCAGCACGACAATTATAATATAAAAAAGTTGGATTCTAGAGCCTTTTAGAGCCTTTGCCAAGGCTGCTCCTGTGTCTCCATTGTATTGTGTCGTGCTGACTACTGCGGGGAGAGCGATTAGTACAGAATCGAATTAAACGATAATTCGGAGCGAAAATTACAGATGAATAGATTCTTTTGTTTTAGAATTGAGCTCACGTTTGGTGTAATATGCACATTGCATTACGCATAAGTTTTCACTCTGAAATACCTTTATTTCAACATAAACCAACCATATTGAACGACACATGGCACTCATAACCCAATATTATTGACATAATACATGTAAACGAAAATGAGAGGAAATTAATAATGAGAGAAACAATTAAAATCTGATACAAAAATGTCGGTTAAAATCTATTCTATCTCCACAATGTCCATCTATTATAATATTGTTTATCAGTTTTTACTCTTGCCGTGGAACTCCTTGATTGAGATCCCCACCATGGTTAAATGTTGTGATATGCGTACAGACAAAACAATGTATGTGCATAGTCGGTATTGTGTTATCTTGTGGGCCGGAACATAGACTATAAATTGACTGAACGAAGCAAAATAATATGATTGCAATGACAAGCCCAGCGATAGCAAGTATAATTTTAATACACGGGCTTAAATCTTCGATGGTATGTATTATGTCCGACGATGCTGACGCTTGATCTTCCGACGAACTTGTGTTAACTTCTTTGTCAAGATCTTTTTGTGCACTAGAGCTGTTAATTGTACAAAAGACAATTAAGTCAGAGGTATTAAGATAATTATACCGAGTCGCAGTTGTAATAGCTAGCCAACATATTAATATGTTTTTACTCATTGTTACACTTGGACAGCGTGGGTAAATCACGTGATATTCTATTATAGCTAGCTAGCCATACATCTGTGGAATCACCCTATTTACTGACCATATGGAGAATTCTTCGTAACGACAGTTGTCGTTGTGGGTGTAGACCGAGTCTCCAAGCGGAATGGCGTGAGTACCAGTAAGGAGAGCCAGAATCAGCAAGAGTATTGGTATGTAACCGCAGGCAGTAATAGGTTGCATTTTGAAATTCCAGTTTTGTGTGGTGAATGAACTGGAAAAAGATAAGAGGGTGAGAGGAAAAGACAACATGGCGAGGAAATAAGAAAGTTTGTGATAATAAGATGTTTTGAGAAGTAGATGTTTGAGAAGTAGATTGTTCAAATTGATTTGGGAAGTTTTTTTTTCTCGTCTTTTGGATGAAGGGTAATGCAAATCAGATAGGGCTTTTTATAACTTCTCGGGTAACACAAAAATGGAAAAAAACACTGGATATTTAAATTGTTAATTGTCTAAATTTAATAATATAACAACGAAAATATGACATAATAAAATGGCCTGTTTAGTATTAGGTAATTATTCTTTGGCTGTCGGTAACAAATTAATATTTTATAAATTAATTTAATAAGTTGAGTGCAACGCTGAAACAATGATGTAACTGCCCTAGGCGTGTAATTGACTAATATTATACAAACGCTGTTTAAAATGGCAAACTGATTGCAATTGAAATACTATGCCGAGTAATATCAAGTCATTCCACAAAAGACATTTCTGACTGACTGAGCATCTCGGTTACTATTGTATCTCTTTTCTGATTTCAAAAGCAACGGTATAAAAGTCGGCGTGCATAAAGCAAACCTACAGCTGGGCGTGAAAACAGTAGTGGGAAGGGAAACTAGTATCTCTTAAAATAGAAGCAGAAAGAATACAAATGTTTGGGGGAATTTAGTCTATGGAATAATTAATAACTTTGATTATTAATTACAAATATACATTATCAAAGTGCATAGTAACTGTATATATTATATACGTGGGTATACTGTATATTGTAAGGAAATTCTATGTGTGTTTTCAGAATTCCATCGGGTCCCCGTGATTCTCTGGATGTATTCTTTTCATGGAAATCGGAGTTTTGTCCCGGGTCAAAGGCATAAATTGCCTTTTTTAGACATACACCCCTTGAAACCAGGAGGTAATTTTGTACGAGCTTTGTGTAAATGATACGAATTCCATCTACGTGTCTACAATAACCATGTCTTGTCTGTTATATTTAGTAAAAATTGAATGGAATTAATGTCGGGCTAAAATACATGCTCATGAGCGTTATGATAACCATGTCAAAGCTGATATGCTGTGTAAAAAATGGGTAAGTGAGTTTTTGTGTAAATGGTACGAATACCATCTACGTGTCTACGATAACCACGCCTTGTCTGTCACATTTAGCAAAAAATTGAATGGAATTAATGTCGGCTAAAATGCATGCTCATGAGCGTTATGACAACCATGTCAAAGCTGAGATGCTGTGAGAAAATGTAAGTTAGTAATCATTGCCGCTTGATACCCCTTTTTTTTATCTGCTTGGTATTTGTTGGTTTTTGTGATTTTTTTTCGTTGAGAAATTTTGAGGCAAGCATTTTACAGGAAAGATTCTATTTGCTGGTCTTTAGCGTTTTTTACTAGACGCCAATCCCAATAAATATGCTATAGTCGAAAATTTATGCGAAAAGACTTAGCCTCTGCTGGATGAAAAGATAATTTTCGAAAACGGCTTTATTTTGTTGTTAAATGATGACGATGTCCTACGTTAAAATCGAACAAGAATAAGGATATTTTGTCGTAAAATATGATCGTTCGAAAGGTTTTTGAGAAAAAGCAGAATACCGTCGCAAAGGGCTCCTTTTATATTTGTCTTCATTGCGTCTTGAATGAACAAAATATTTATCAATTAACGTTGTATCACTTAACTAAGACAAGAAGAATGAAACTCCGAAATGCAGTGAAAAATGGTTATCTCGTTTGCAAGTGATACCAGCGACCATTAAAAGACAGAATTTATAAATAGATGTAAAACCAATTTCCAAATTAACATAATTTCCCCTTGAGAAACATTGTACAATCATGCACAACACCAAATTAATCATGCCTTTATCGAAAACTCCGTTACGGAGTTCTGACTGCGATGACCGTCAGGAGGAATACAAAATCCTCCAATAAACGTTGCATCAGTTGTACATTCAGCAGAACAGTGACGCTAATGAAAGGATTATCGTGAAACACTTAAGACTACGCAAAATCACCCAGCCCCAAGTTTCGAATTATAGGTGCAACTAAATAAAGGAACGCAAAACTCCAAGTTTCGAATTATACAAGTCACAAAGCGTCTTCGAAAGTTTATTGAAAATAGGTAATTTACCGTATGTTTCCAAAACCCGTCATGAATAATTGAACAAATCTATTAATTATGATGTAATTACAAACGGTAAACAACTGTCAGTATATGGTATGCGTTGTGGAGGAGCATAAAGTTAAGAGCGCAACGTCTGTCACCGTTAATGTTTACGACTATTAGTATTTGTTTTGTAGTCTATGGGCACTGTTTTACGACTTTTCGCAATTTTGTTCTTGTCCATATGCTTAAATATAAAGTTTTCACCATTTTTAAATTTCCTCGGGTAGACATATTTCGGATACATACATTGTGTTTGTGAACTAATTTCGAGAGAAGGTTGCTTTTTTGTTACACACCAGACAATATCAAGAATTTGCATTTATGCCGACACAAAGTGAGGAACCTTTGTCATAAGCTTATACCTACTGTTTAAGAATAGCTGTAAGTAGCTCATCTCTGCTACACAGCTGACAACACAAAGTTCCGATCTCATGTCAGTGTTCAGTAATTAATAATTAATCATTATAATTTGCATGTTCCTGGTACTGTTTATAGCTTTACGATTATTACATTATGATATGTCGGTAAATTTAGCCAAGTTTAGCCCGTTAATTACACATACTGCTTTGGCCATGATTTCTAAGTTAAACTTCATTGAGAGTCTGATTACTATTAAATAAACTCGGCTATAATCCTATTGGTCGTTGCGTATAATGGGGTGGAAGAAATCGTTAGTATTGTCTGCATAGAAGCATTATCTTCGTATATGGAGGGAGCAAACATGCATATACAGTATATGTATAGCAAAAGCGTGTTCGGTTGTCAGTGTACATGAGATATTATAATATAGGTAACCAACAAGATTGGCTGAAGGTTACAATCAAGTCCATACAAACGACTACTCCATATAACCCGACTGTGAGTTTTTTATACGCTTATATATTAGTCAGCTCAGCCCATAGTCTTCTAATTGGAATTCTTCTCTCATTGTAACGTATGACAGGTTGATATTCTTGAAAACATAACAATTTATACTACATAAAGTATTAGTATGTAATATGTGGTGCAGTACCTTATCCTTTACATTTCTCGGCAAATGTCTAAAATTGGTATCAAGAAAGGGACCATCAGTTCAATACCCGGTCAAATTAGGTCAGATCATTCTTAATTTGACTTTGGAGTATCAGAACGCACGCAGTCATTGGCCTCTCATTATCTCAATTCACACACATTTGTATTCCGTCCCAATCATGCCTGCAATCGACAACAAACAACAATAACAATAAAAACCCCATTTATATTATGGGCGTTGCTCATTTTTAGAGTTTAATACACTTGCACTCTGGATAAATGACGATGTTCATGGAAACGTAACACATAGCTAAAACTTATCCTCTGGAGAATGTAAAAATCGAAAGTTAATAAATTTAGTAGTGCAAATGAGCATGGCTTGCTCTCTTGATGACCCGAAATCGTAAAATTTGTTTGGACGGGGGAGGTGGCTTAGTGTACCGACTTGCCTGATGTGCAACGCTTAACCATTATCGTAGGGAATGTTTGAACGTACAGGCATTCCGATGCTCGTCTATTTATGGGAGGTGATCGGTTCTGTGTAAGTCACATTACACGTACAATTGAATGATGGGTATGACCCTTCTTTTTCTTTTGTTTCTGTATTTTAACTTGCAGGTATTGTGTACATAATTGGGAGCCAGCAGGTCATTATTACCATTGACCCCTTTTCAATCGGCGATATCTGCTTGGCAATCGCAAAAAGGCAAGAATTTCGTTCATGCAATTTAGCATCTGGAAACCCGGTGTTCCTGCATTACTATATTGTAGAATTCCAGAATGCTGTTAGTCACTTCGTCGTAGAACTGTTTCGTGATACAGGGTAGATCATTTGCTTTATTAAATTCGAACACATGTAACTCTTGCTATTGTCTTTGAGAATTATCCAATAACTTTCTTTTAGACCTTTTCTCTCTCTCTTGGCAACTGATTTGAACACTTCCAAGTTTCGACGTACAAGTCACGCGAACCTGTTTTAGACATGGGTTCGTCCCAAAATGTTAACTTATTATAAATTCTGAAACACATATGCTATTCTTGTCGTTATGATCCCACCTTAATTTAGCTCAGCAATTACGCAATTTATTCTGCTGTCCGTCTCTATACAGTCGAGGCGCGAGTTGGGCGAATATAAATAAAGAATTTATTACGTCTCATGTGTCATTTCACATCATCGGGATTTATCCGGCAGATTCCGGCACGACAATTAATCATCCACGTTCGCTAAGAATTCGGCTAAACATCGGATGAATAAACCGCTGCTATCATCGCTTTTTTCGACCATACACATCGGCGTATTCCGTTTGGAAAACCCACTCTCGTGTAACGACCCTTTTTTGCATAAAAAGGCTGAATTCTGCACGTTTATCCTGCTATCTTTTTCGTCTCTTGAATCAAATCAAAAGCAAAATTCATCAGAACAACGAAAACCAAAGACGTTCCAATATAAGATTTTATGATATCGACTACTCTTTAATATAATCTTTAATATATAATTATTTACAAAATGCCTCCCATAAAACCCTACTCAACAAAATCCTTAACCTTGAAAGATTTAATATCGCTCTACTCTGATCATTTGACCGAGTCCGACATATGCCTCCTCAACAATCCTCCATATGTATTAACGATCCCACTCGATACACTTCTCCCAAACAGTAAACACCGAGCGACCTATATTCCCCCACGCCCTCAAAACCCATGGATCTTATTTAGAAAAGATTTCGAGGCGAGATACCGAAAGCACGCTCCAACCATTTCTGCGAGAAACATATCCTCGCTCGCTAGCGAAACGTGGCGAAATGGCGAGAGAGACCTTGTAAGATTCTTCCGAATACTGGCGAAAATAACCGCTGTTAGACATCAAATGATATACCCAGAGTACAAATTCACACCCAAAAAGCCGGGAAAAGAGAAAACATGGATTTTCAAACAAGACGCAAGAAGCATCAAATTTGAGAATACCAGGAAAAAGGAATCTGTGATTGATAGTGTAAAAGGGGACAAAGCAAGTGAACGCTTGAGAATGAATAAAGAGGAAAAGGTTGGTATGGAAGAAAGAACAATAATAGAGTCACATAAAGTAAACCTACCAGTAGAGAATAAATACAATCACGAGAGCCACGAAGCGAAAGAAAGCAATGCGGAAGCAGCATTTCTCGCTCACTCGTCTTTCCCTACAACGCAGTCAGACTTTCTTCTTCCTACGCCAGTTTTAGATCCATCATTCTATCCGTGCTCGTCTTACTCCCCCGTTACACCATTTAGCCAGCAAGGCTCGTTCGGTGATGGCAATTTAATATCCCTTCTGAGCCCAGATCTCAGCGAAATATGTAATAGTGATCTAATGAAAAACGGTTTTCCAATTGATGATAGTAATGAGGAGGGGGTGTGGAATTGTGCTGGGTGTGATGATATTGTGCAGTATCCGCTATCTTCAATGCCGTTGTCGTCATCGTTGTATCCACCACAGATGGAACACTTTGATTTCTCATTGTATCATCAGCCGCCGGAAGTGGCTTGCGTAATCGATTCGTCATTGTCATATCCGTATTCGCCCGCTCATTTGTCTGCTCCTCCACCAGGGGTGGAGTTTGCATACTACGGAACTAGGACTTGCAGCAGCAACAACAACAACAATCCACAATCGCAGATTCGGTTGGATCTATGCCAATTGCAACAGCAACGGTTCGAAAAGCAGGTGGACCTTCATTTGGATTGTTTCAAACAGCAGTAGCGTGACCCGAAATACATGGAAGGTGGCCGTAATTGTGTGAGGGAGTAACCCGTCAATGGGTAGTATTAGTCGCATATTCCCCTGTTTCCCTGCGACGTTTGTAGAAATGTTTATATGCATAGTATAGTATGTAGACTATGGTAATATAAGACAAGAACAATATTACATCATAATATATAAATAAGTGGTTCCTACCTAGAAAGGAAGACAGGTGTCGGTGAGGCGTAATAGAATGTAATCAGAAGTTATTGTAAGCCTTCTACTGTCCGATCTCTGTCTTTGTTTATTTTTTATCATTTCAATTGTTTGTAGAATATAAATTTATTTCAAGAAGGCAGTTGAGGGAATGGGTTATATAGGTGTCTTGCTTTTGGAGATCTCTCGAGCTGGTCTAACTGTCAAAGGCACATAATATTCTCCGAAATAAACAACTTTTCGTAAGAACGTATAGTATTAATATAGCAAGTATTACAAGATGGATAAGGGATTCTGTCACACAGAAATAATTGATGTAGGATATCCATTATTAATAATAGTTAGACTATGATGATTGCTAATAAAACTTGTTCTCGTGCTAAAAATACGTAAAACTCGCACTCTGAAACTAAAACCCCGAGATCAATGGAATATGGGGCTGTGGCGTTATTTTTAGAGTGTCATATTTACTCCGAACACTAGCAATTTTCACTCCGAACATAAATAGGGCAAGGCATTAGTACGAGATACTTAAAATGATAACAAATATCAATAAAGTTCAATAAACTCGGCCACTTACATAAAAAAAATTTTTTTTTTGGCTGACAAAGGGAGTAAATAATGATATATTTTTATGTTATCAGATGATGCAAAATAAGGCTCAGCAAATATTTTCCCCGACGATCAAACCAGAAAGGAAAGTTGGAAAAGCATGACTTGCAATCAACAAATGAGAGATGTAGAAAAAAGAGAATAAGACGGGGTCCAAGAAGAATGATGTTTGATAACGATTGGTTAACTAATTCGTGGTCAGGGTCCAGCGTTTAATCAACAAACATGTGTAATATGATGTCAATTGTAACGATAAAAAACAACACCTCCATTCCGCTTATCACTCTTGCCCCCAGTCGCTGAATCTTGTGACTCCTTCATTGACGTCAGACAATGAGGATGTTCGCCTTTTGCTCAATTTTCTCTAACAGTTGTAATATAGTCATATTACGAATTGTATTTGGAATATTATTTATTAATAATAAACACAACTAAAATACTATTACTATTGTAAGAATATATTGCCCCTTTCTTTTGAAAGCTATTCGTATAACGGATTCTGGTTCTCTAATGAAACTTACAACATGGCCTTACTGTGTTAAGTATTAAGTATTCAAGCTTTGAAAATATAATTTTTCAATAGATTGAAACGACCATCGCTTTTAAATTATTTAGTACAGGAAAAGGTATTGTAAAGGGGGGAGCGAATTCATATACTGCGGCGCAGTTGTATCGAAAAATTGGGGAAGGTCTTTTTGGTCCTCTCACATCGAATGTATGGATGTACGACATAAGATTACCCGATTTACGTTAATGAAATTGGCTGCGGGATAAAGTATATGCTAGTTATAAAAAGAATGCACCCGAAATATCCCTATCGCTACGAATCCAACTTTTTATCACTGAAGACGACTTGACTAGAAAGCTACGACTTTGGAAACTTGTAGGAATGCGAAGTACCATTTTATCAAAGCGCATTAACACTCGTTTTCATCGCCAATGCAAGAAAGTCCATTATAGTTGTCACAAGAAACGTTAAATGTTGGATTTCAAAACGGGTTTCCGTTGGCATAAAGCTACACGGCGACGAACCCCGTTATAACAAAGTTACCAGGGAAAGGGCGTTGTAACGAGAAATCTGGTAAAGCAAAGATACTCTCCTATAACAAAGTTTCAAAATTGTAAATGAACAAGAATATGAAGCTTCCAACTTATAAATCTATTATAGAATGGTTTTGGTTTGTAACACTATGGAGCTCTGCCCTTTTCGCTCGGAGCTCATTATCGTCTATCTCCATTGCATGCTATTTACAGCCGATAACTATGATATTGCTATAACCAATCACTCTTCTAATTCCTAAATCACGTGAATCAAACACTCGGTACAAAGCGAATTACTATTACTATAGAGAATCCCTGTATCCAAAACTTCGGGAATAATGATTATAACAAAAACCTGGTATAACAAAACAAGACTACTATCTCGCGAAATGCTAATAAAATCTACAGCATGATACACTGAATATGGATCTACAGAGCATGCTTAGTGCATTAGTACATGAAAATCTCTTGCAGATTTTTATTCCCACGGTCCCTGTGATAGGCAGATAAAATATAAAAATGAAAACCGAAACACTCCAACTAGTGAAAAGAATAGATGTATTGTCGTTAACTGTTAGGCAATTTACAACGTCAAGATGAGTTAATTCTCGCATGAATACTTTATTTTGGTATGGTATAACTCTTCTTCCGGAGTTTTAAGATTTCATCGTCAGGAAAGCATATGCAATGTCATTTTCTAAGACTAAACAAAAACAGCAATATATACAATGCCACGCATAAATATGGTAAAGTCTATTCGAAGTAGTATTATTATTGTGAAAATATTTGTGTAAACAGATTGATATCGTATAATAATAAGAGTCCAACACTAGCACGATTACCACGGACGATGATATCATTCTGTGACCCACATTGTGGCGTGATAACGAGAAAACCCCCCGCATTACGCTTACTTTGTGTATAATGATTACTAATACTGCTTGCCATGATTCTGACTCGGATTCTCGGAAGCGAGAGCTTTTGATTATATCGAATGGCTTATCTATCTCAGGGAAATAAGATAATACGCCACCACAAGTTTATTGCCCAGAACTAGCTGATAAGAAAACTTTACTCTCATTTTAATTACTTATTCCAGTTCATAATGGAGTTTCTCGTTTTTTAGTACTTATTAACTGTGAGTCACAATTCATTGAGAATGTCTATGGTAATAAGATGACAAAATTTAGATCTTAATTGAATTATTGCCGCTTTATCACTGCTATTAGAGAAATAATAAAGTGTCTAACAATAAACAAAATTGTTAAGCATGGTCGGGGTTAGTGTACTTTCAATCAGGTGTAAGATTACTCTGATAGCGGCGATAAGAATTATCATAAATCAAAATATATTAATTAGTGTAACCATTATCTAGATCGGTTACATAAAAATAAACAAAATGACGAGGATGTGGAACACAGACCGCCCAAAGCCTGCCACGTTCATCACATAAATATTATCATTAAACCATGGAGTCAAGGTTATTTATATCAGCGATTGTTAAATTTGCCCATGCTAGGAACGACTGAGGATAATGATATTTATCTCAAAAATACATAACATATCGCCCCTTAAATATTTTTAATCTAAAATTATCGTTTATTGTTTCTAATATCGTTGCTGTTGGCTTAAAGCAGTCTATTGAAGTAACGTGTTGGCAATTGCGTGGTCGACCAACCCAGAAAAATGGTTCAAATTATTAAATTATTTTGTGTGGCAACTATAAATTTGTTTATATCCAAGCAACGAGGCATATCAGTTACGCTCCAGTTGGCTAAATACAACATAAAGTCAAATTAATTTAGAATGTATTTATTTATTATCTTTACATTAATCTCAACAATGACAGTGGATCTAGAAACAAAATATACAGAATGAGAAATGATTTATGAAAATACGTAGTCGGTGAAATTTGAATTTTTGTAATGTGCACTTGTGGATGTTGTCTATCCTGAGTCTTTCCCTGACCTCAAATTTATTTCTTAATATTTTTTCAAAGACATACACATCGAGCATTTGTGCCTGCGTACAAGAAAAGAGCAAATCTGTTGCTATTACCATACCGCACTGTTTCACTACCCACTAGTATAGCACCCCTCTTACTTAGTACCGAGCGATTACCAAATGTTTACACTGAAGGAACCGGTTTTGCAGAAAACTGGGACAACTACACACCCATAGAGCATCTGATGTATAATAGTTTTCCCCGGAGTTAGAAGAAAGGTTTTTTTGTCCTGCCTTTTTCCACTCTTTTAAATTCCTCCCACCAATGTGGATGTTGACGACCATTTATTAACTATAAAAGCCGATTCTCTTGCTGTGAAAAAGATGCTCACAAATGATGTAGATTACATAATTCAAACGGGGTCAATTGAAGCGATACAGGTAATTATGTTTTAGAACTTTTCAATGTGCTTCAGTTATCATTGTTGTTTTGCTGAAAGTATAACATGAATGAGCCCAAAAAGAATACCTACCTTCAGAATACCAAGATGAAAACAGGTAGAGCCACAATGCTGGAGACTATGTAATCATAGACTTCTTTCATTGGATTGTAGCAAATTTGATTGGGTGTCAAAGAACCACTGCCTGCATCAGTTGGTATCAATAGATGCAGATTAAAATGATGGATTTATTTAAAAATGCAGGACAAAATATCAAATTACTTCCAGGCATTGGTTGAAATGTTATGCAAACTTTGTTGTTCCTTTTTGCTTTGTAAACAAGTTAAAATGGCCCCATAGACACAACACGTTTGCGAGTTTCTCCACTGCTTGTGCAGCATTGATTTCAGCAAAGTTTTTATCAATGAAAATAAACTTGAGAATTAGCCTTCAATTCCTATGAGTAATTTTGTCTGAATAAATTCATTACTTCACTTGTATTCATTAAGCAATAAGCAAGCAGAAATCCACTTCCATGGATCTCTCCAACAATACTATACAATTCAAAGCGACCTTTAGCCATCTTGTAATAGTAAGTCACATCCGCATGTACTTCTTCAATCTGTTGGGCATACTTTAGAATAGGTATTGAAAAATCAATGGCTACAATCTCTGAGGTATTTTTTTTTTTCATAATAAGTAAACAGTAAAACCTCCATAAATGCAACGCCTTGGAACCGAGCATTTATGGAGGTTTTGCATTTATGGAGGTTTTGCATTTATGGAGGTTTCCTTATTTGGAAAGGATATTTTAACGATTTGCGTCTATTAAA